AGCCCGACAGCACCAAACTATTTTTTATATTAGATAATTAATTTAATTTCACATAATTATCGCGGTAGAAGCCATATGTCTGTTAAATACTTAATAAAACATATCATACAACAAACATACAACAAACATTGACCCTAGGTCAATGTTTGTTGTAATTGACCTATACTCACAGACTAATGAGATAATTAGTCCAAGTTTGTCCTTTATTGAACGTTCAGAAACTACAATGGCTGTGATGCGCCAAGACAAAGGTAAACAAAGGTAAAACAACCTGAACAGGTGATCAACTCTAAACCACTCGTACCTTTTTATTCTCCGTCTCTCTCTGTCATTTAAGCACACCCGTTGCCATGGCAACCTCCTGCGCTCCACAAGTCGACCAGAGATTACGTTAAAAACATAACATTCAGTCCGATATTAGGTTTGCAGGTTGATATTTATTTTGCTATTATTAATAAGCGCTCCCTGAACACAGCGGTGATTGATAAGTTAATTTTAAACTCCTGCTCTGCTTGTTATTTAGTAATGGAACCGAAACGCACAGAATTGCGCAACACCTTGTTGACACAGTAATTACTGAGATTATTATTGTTGTTGGGTCATTAATTTGAGCATGTTTTGTTGATTTATTTGTTGTCGTTCTTCAATAAAGTTAGGGACATTTTAAGCCAGTCAGAGGAGGCCGTGCTGGTCTCAGCGTCCTGGCGGCGTTCAGTTTGTCACCTAATGCCGAGATCGACTCAAAACCTTCCACGATCAACATATTGCGCCCCTGCTCTAGCAAAGCACGAACAGTTCAGAAACAATATGAAATGGGGAAAAAGTTATTTATTAACTGATTAAGTAGTTGTTTTAGATTGTTCTTGAAAATCTAATCAGTCACGGCTGATTAGTTGGTGCACTCACGGCTGCACAGTGAACCCATTGATTTTTTTTTACAGCAGACAGCCGCTCCCCTCTCTGGCAGGTACTGTGTACCCCCGCTAAATCTTTTAGGGGTACGCAGTACCCTACGGTACCCCCTTACTTTCACCCCTGTGCCTAACCCATTCCATTTTCAGATGTATGATGTAAGATCTATAATCAACAGGATTAACTCAGTTTACACTCCAGACCAGACAGTTGGGGTATTGCACACTTTCATTTAAAAAAAAAAAAAAAAAACCGCCATAAAGACAAGAAAAAACTTGAACGCAGGGAAGATAACAGGCGCTGTTCAAATTCGCCGTTTTTACTCGCATAATATTGCCTTAAAAGTAGAGAGGGCCTTGACAATAGTTACTAATTTTGGTAAATTCAAGCTGGTGACGTCCTAGTTAGATGACAACACAACTGGACAACAGCTGATGGAAATGAAATGTGTGTCACAAAAGGAGCCCGGAGGGATGAAGGATGCTAACGTGTTGCTAGCTAACGGTAAGTTTGCTTATTAATTATCTTCATCTAATTATAAACAGTGCAGTAAAGATATATAACTTACGTTGGTCTCATAAATAATTATTTTATCAATTTTATTGTGTCTTGTATGATTATTACTATATTAATCATTCAGCTTCATGTTATAACTGCATGGAGGCTCTGGTTGTTGCGACTTGTACTTTAATTCATAAACTTAACCTGGTTTTAATTAAGCTCCGTATGACAGAGAGACTTTGATATTGTGAGGTTGTTGTTATAACTTGTTCATCAATGTTTTTATCTTCAACGTTTGCAGTCTAAGCAAATGAAGATCAAAGAGGAAGCCAGAGAAATCAGGTGTTAGGAAACCTAGACCTTCCTGTGTCAGAAGAAGCTCTGGCTTCACCAGATCAACAACCAGCTCTGAGGATGAACCTTCACATCGTCTTCCTGGTGTAAGTATTTGTTTTTTACTGACCAGCCAGCTACATTTTCAACAAGAAAATCTGGTGTATTACCAACACCAAGTGCTTAATAAACATGATTTGATTTAAAGGTAACTGGACAGAATTTTTCCCCTTGTTAATCTAACATTTTCTTTTCATACATTTTATTTGTTGTTGGCTTTCAGGGCCCTGTGATGGGACTGGTGACCTGTCCAGGGTGAACCCTGCCTCTCATCTGATGACTGGAGACTGGAGATGGGCACCACCAGCCCCCCTCACCACCCTGCTAGGATCAGTGTGTTCAGATCATGGATGGAAAGATTTTAAGGTAGTTTGTCTCCTCAAGTCCACACTTAAAACAGTTTCATAGTTGATGCCAACATCAACTGATTCTATGACATTGTTGACTATTTTTTTCTACTTCTAACATAAACAAGGCAAAGAAGACACCCAGAAATGTTTTTACACCCGAGGCATTCGGATAATAAATTATATTATCGGTATTTTGGTAATGGAACCGAAACGCACAGAATTGCATATATATTAATAATTAATATAACAATATAATATAATGCCACAATAAAACATAGCGAATCCACAATGTCTTAAAATTGTAAGTATTATTTTGGTAACACTTTATTTGAAGGGGGTGAATAAGACTGTCACGACACTGTCATAAACATGACATAACACC